TTCTCTCTACTGATACTCATTTTCTCGAGTATCTATTAATCTCTTTCTCTGCATAGCCTTTAAGATGCACTGAAGACAAAAACTAACATTTTAAAAAAAGAAAATGGAATTGTGAAATACATTTAAGTAACTGAGAAGAAAGTTATAGGGCAAAGACAGAGGAACGTAGAGCATCACTCGCTGTTTCAGGACAGTTTAGAATAAACTCACCCTTTTAATTATACCAGAGTAATGAGCCTTCCTCAGAGTTTGTGAAAATATAATTAAAAATGTATCTTGGCTCAGTAGACCAGGTTGTCAGGTCATTATCAGAATCATAAAGTTGACGGGATGCCCATTAAAGGTTGCTAGTTTGGAAAGGTTAGATTAGAATTTAAAATTTTTGCAAATATAAATGTTTTTTAATTTGAGTTATGTTTTAGCAAACCTCTAGCATTTGATGTTTTTATTTTAACTTTTCATGGAATTGTAATACGCATACAGAAATGTGCATGCAAGAGGACAGCCTGAGGAATTTCCATACCTCAATAAAAAAAATCTGCCTTCTCAGTGTCCCAGAAGCCACCCTCTTGCTTCTCCCTTGCCCCACCCCCAATTATCCTGATATCAATCACTTTTTCCTATTTTTGTACTTTAGATAAATAGAATCATGCAGTATCTGTATTTGACTTAATGTAACATATTATCATTCTGAGTGACATTACTGATAGTAACTCATTGAAAACAAGGTCCATTTTCAGTTTTCCTTATTATATATCTATTTTGGTAAACTGGCAACTTACCAGTGTGTCTAGATCTTTATATTCCTTTAAGAAATTATCCATGTAAATGCATGTGCATGTGAGTATGCACCTAGGTGTGTGTGCACATGTATTTATATGTATATTCTTTTTAGCAGTGTGACTCAAATTAGGTCATGCTTTGCTATGCATATTATTCACCTCTTAGTGATGCATCTTAAAACCCTTTTTGGCTGGGTGCGGTGGCTCACACCTGTAATACCAGCACTTTGGGAGGCCAAGGTGGGTGAATCACTTGAGGTCAGGAATTCAAGACCACAAACCCCATTTTTACTAAAAATACAAATATTCGCTGGATGTGGTGGTACATGCCTGTAATCCCAGCTACTTGGGACTCTGAGGCAGGAGAATCGCTTGAACCTGGGAGGTGAAGGTTGCAGTGAGCCAAGATCGTGCTACGGCACTCCAGCCTGGGTGACAGAGCCAGACTCTGTCTCAGAAAACCAAAACAACAACAACCCTTTTCATATAGGATCTTGTAGATCCACTTTATTTTTCTTAAAGGCAGCATGGTACTTCATCGTATGGATGTATCATCATGTAATGAACCAACTGTGCACTGAAGAACATCAAGGTGGTTACTGGTCTTTGACTTTACAAAAATAAAATCCACATGAGCTTGTCTGTGAAATAAATTATTGGAAGTGGAATTGCCAAGCAGGGGGATCCATGCATTCAAAACTTGCTTATACATTTGTAAATGGCTCGACAAAGAATTTTGCCAGCTTTTACTCCCACCAGCAAGGTTCAAAACTTCCTGTTTCCAGTGTCCTTTCCTTAGAATGTGTGTTATCTGGTTTATTAATCTTTTCAGTCGGATATAGGAAATCCAGTTAGACATTGTCAATTGAAATTGGCATTTTCTTAAGTTCTGAGTGAAGCTAGTGATTTATGTTTATTCAACATTGGTGTTTCTCTTGGGACTTGTTCCTTTTCTTATTCTACTACAGGCTTGTTCCTATTTTTCTTAATAGTTTCAAGGAACTCTTTCTATATAAAGGATTAGCCTTTTTTATGTCATCTGTCGTAATTTTTTCTTCAGTCTGTTTTTTGTTTTTATCGTGTTTATGGTCACTTTTTTTTCTAAACAGGTTTTAATTTTTACATGGCAAAATGTACCAATTTTTTTTTTCTGTAGTAGTGCTGAATTTGTGTGTGTGTGTGTGTGTGTGTGTGTGTGTGTGTTTCATGAGAAAAAGCATTGGAAACTTGAGACAGAAAGATAGGTTAGGCCTGCTAGGAAAAAAGTCTTCAGTAAATGTTTGTGGGAAATGTGGCTAAGTAGTAATTCAAGTTTCAGTCAAAAGTGATATGACTGGCTGAGTGTGGTGGCAAACACCTGTAATCCCAGCACTTTGGAAGGCCAACACGGGCAGATCACAAGGTCAGGAGTTTGAGACTAGCCTGGCCAATATGGTGAAACTCCATCTCTACTAAAAATACAAAGAGATTAGCCCAGCATAGTGGCAGGCACCTGTAGTCCAGCTACTCGAGAGACTGAGGCAGAAGAATAGCATGAACCTGGGAGCGGGAGGTTGCAGTGAGCCAAGATCGCACCACTGCACTCCACCCTGGGAGACAGAGCAGGACTTCATCTCAAAAAAAAAAAAAAAAAAAGGTGATATGACCAACTATAAACAAACAAAAATTTGGATATTTGTCAAAATTTGTTTAGTATATGTAACAGCTTTGGGAGAGATTTTTCACTGCTATGCTTTTCTTTCTTTTATGCTTTGTTATTTGGGGTTTTAATTTCTCAAATGATCCCTTTTTTTTAGATTTCAAATTATAACCTATTTCCTGCACGATTGCTGACGCCCAGTGATCCATGTCAGAACTACTTCCAGGTCAGATACATTTTCACATATTTCAATGCAGAGAAGCAGATGAATATTAAGACTTAAAAATAGATACTGTTTAGTGTTAAACTTACAATTTGCTAAAGTAACATGTTTTTGAATTTCATTGTTCTTCAGTAATGTAATAGAAAAGTGAATCTTTAAAGGAGAAGAATTAGTTGGACTTAACCATATTTGTGTAATAATTGCATGAATACTTACATCATAATGTAAAAATATTTTAGTTGACTGTGACAGGAGTTTAAAACTGTCAAATTTTGCCATCTAGCATTATGCATTACAGCCGGGGTACTGCTGAAATGTGAACCAAGGAGTAGGTGTTGGTGTTGAGTCTCTCAGTTGGCATCTTATTAATAATAGCTTGTAGAGTTCGCTTAGACAGAACCCGCCCTTCCCCCGCTACCCCCATTCAGTATTCTCCTTGGGTCTAATCAGCAGATTAATTTCAAGCCTTAGGAAAACACCCTTAATTTTATTGTACTTCCCTTTTTTGGTCTCATGATAGCTGCTAGTCTACACACAGCATGGTGTGGGATTTAATCCCCAGCCTCAGTAATGTAATAAGGAAAAAGCAAATTGCAGTAACATTTCAAATTAAATATCATATAGGACTTCAAGTGACAGATAGATCTGGGTAGATTTCACATTTATTAGGACACATACTGCTTAGCAAGTTCTGAGTTTTTAAATAAGTAGATTCAAAGCATGGGCAAATAGATACTCATGCCCCTAAATTCTAAACTTACTATTAAATATAATCAAGCTGTTTTCTCCCTTATATGGCATTTTTCATGTTACATTTCAACAAAGAACTAAAACAAAACATAATAAACACTAAGCTCAGTAGAGACAGATGGGAGGCAAGAAATCTTCTTTTATTTAAAAAACAGCCAGAAAGTATGGCAAACTGAGTTCACACAAGAAAATCAGGGTCTTAGAGCTGATGTTTAGAAGCCATCTAATCATAGTGTGGTGATTTGGGGAGAGTATGGATTTTGTCAGAACATACTGAATAGGTATATTAATTTTGGAAAAATCAAGATAAATACATACGTCTTTTAGAAAATAGATTTTAAATGTTGAGAATAATTTCCTTTAGGGATCCTTTAACTTGCAAAACCTTATATGTTTATGAGATTTATTCAGTCTATCTTCAAGGTAGACTAGTATGAAAGCATTAAAATAAAGCTGGCAAGTATTTACAATGATGTGTGTTCCTCTAAGTGAAGTTGAACGAATCAAATAACTTGTAGAAATTTCCCGTTCTTGCTATATTTTGTTATGCTGATGTTGTCACTCTTCATGCTGGTGCTCAAACAGCTTTATTCTTTGGCAATTACATAAGAGATACTGAAACAGTTACCTAGCCTGGTTTTTAAATAACAGCTACTACTATCATGCCTTGATATGACATATAACACACTTTACAAGGAAAGAGGTATCTTAGTTTGGTGGAGAATCCTAGTCCAGCCATTTTTTTACTTGAAAATTCAAATGGCAACTAGTGAGGGATGGTCAGGGCTAATGAATGGGGTAGGGTTTGCTTTCAGCTCCTTTTTCTAACTATAGGGAGCTGTGACTACAGGGACAGCTTTTAAAAAGAAACATGGGGGCCGGGCGCGGTGGCTCAAGCCTGTAATCCCAGCACTTTGGGAGGCCGAGGCGGGTGGATCATGAGGTCAAGAGATCGAGACCATCCTGGTCAACATGGTGAAACCCCGTCTCTACTAAAGATACAAAAAATTAGCTGGGCATGGTGGCGCGTGCCTGTAATCCCAGCTACTCAGGAAGCTGAGGCAGGAGAATTGCCTGAACCCAGGAGGCGGAGGTTACGGTGAGCCGAGATCACCTCATTGCACTACAGCCTGGGTAACAAGAGCGAAACTCCGTCTCAAAAAATAAAAATAAATAAATAAATAAAAAGAAACATGGCAGAATTTATTTTATTTTTATTTCTTTTTAAGACGGAGTCTCCCTCTGTCACCCAAGCTGGAATGCAATGGCGCAATCTTGGCTCATTGCAACGTGCTCATTTCCTCAGGTTCAAGCATCTCCTGTCTCCACCTCCCGAGTAGCTGGAATTATAGGCACGCACCACCATGCCCAGCTAATTTTTGTATTTTTAGTAGAGACGGAGTTTCACGATGTTGGCCAGGCTGGTCTTGAACTCCTGACCTCAGGTGATCCACCTGCCTTGGCCTCCCAAAGTGCTGGGATTACAAGAGTGAGCCTCCACGCCTGGCCTTATTTATTTTAATTTTTTTCTGAGACAGAGTCTTGCTCTGACACCCAGGCTGGAGTGCAGTGACACAATCTTTGTTCATTGCAACCTTCACCAGGTTCAAGCAGTTCTCCTGCCTCAGCCCCCTGAGTAGGTGGGATTATAGGCATATGCCATGACACCCAGCTAATTTTTGTAATTCTAGTAGAGAATTCCTGGCCTCAAGTGATCTGCCTTCCTCGGCCTCCCAAAGTGCTGTATTACAGGTGTGAACCACCATGCCCAGCCAAACATATCAGAATGTATACCATCATCTGCCTCTGAAATTCCTGTTGACCCTTCAGGATTCAGCTCAGGAGTCCCTTCTGAGCAGATCTTAACCTGTGATATCACCAAGTAATTACCCTATTTCAAGGGCCTTATTATTTTTTAACATTTTTTCCCTTTTGGAGTGGATTTGGGGCCCAGCTTATCAGTTACTCAAGAAAATATGTGACTTTTTTTTTTTATCTCACCTACTTTTTTTTTCGCCTAAACCAATATTCCCAAGCTGGATCATCATCAGGCTTGCCCATAAAAGTCCCTGTGTTTTTTTAAAAATCATCTTCAGAAAACACTGAGGCTTTACTAAAAAATGGAAAGAGCTCAGAAATTGAGCAGGGAAAAGAGCTAGGTGTGTTGGTGCATACCTTAGCCCCTGCTACTCGGGACAGTATGTCAGGCGGATCGCTTGAGTCCAGGAATTTGAGGCTGTAGAGCATGATGACTGTGCCTGTGAATGCACTCCAGCCTGGGCAACATAGTGAGACGCTGTCCCTTAAATTAAGAAAGAAGTTGAACAGAGAAAATGTCCTTGGAATATAATTTCCCAAGTTGACTACTCCAAAGGTCTTAATTCTTACTTGAATACACATATTCTGCTTGTGTTTCCTAAATAACTGATCATCACATCTGCCGGGTGTGATGTTGGGAATGGCAAGCTTTCCCCCATCTGGAATGCCTTTTTATTCCTTGTCCACTGCTGGGCTCCTTTCCACCCTTTAAGATCCAGCCCAGCTCTTCTTTTTGTGGGAAGTCTTCCCTGAACCTCATTCCTTATCCCTAACATGGAGTTCTCGTAAGACTCTCTGCCTATTTCAGCCATTGTGAGTTTGTGTAATAACTTATCCTTTCTCACCACCAAATCTGATTCTGTTTTAAAAAATAACATTTCTTATTTTTTATAATCGACAAATAAAACATGTATATGTTTATTGTGTACAACATGTTGTTTTGAAATGTGTATACATTGTGGAATGGCTAAATCAAGCTAGTTAAGATTGAGTTTGGTAAAAAGTATGTGATGCATCTGTCTTGAATCTCAGTTCCATTTAAGACATTGAACAGAATGAGTCCTCAGGCAGTTGTTTAATGGGACATGGGAAACCCTCAGGTGGGTGAGATCTGGCTGTTGAAATCGCCCCTGTATCTGACACTCTGTGCATCAGCAGTGTGATATTGCTCTCCTAGTTAGAATATTCCAAGATTTAAATCCTGCCATCTTCCTAGCCCATTTCTTCAGTGACCCAAGCTGCCTTATAATAACTTTTGCTGCTTTTGTTCACGGTTCTTATCATTTTTGTCACATTGAGGGTTTCCGTTCATGAGCAGTTTCAGGAAGCCAGCTTTATTTTGTCTCTCCTTCCTAAAAGGAAAAGAAAAGTCAGAGTTATTTCATTTCCTTAATACTTTGTGGTCTAATTCAAAAGGCAGCATTCCTCAGGGTAGAAGTTTCACCATTAACACCTCAGTGGAAATGAAATTGTATAGCAGAAAAATAAAAATGAAGAAAATGTGGAGTTTCATTCAATCATGGGACAAACATTGGACTTCCTTGGGCTCATTTATCAAACCTGGGCCCATTTGTCAGTTTCCAATTTTATAAGCATGTCATGGGAGTAGAGGGAGAGCAGCAGGTTGTTGAAGAGAGAAGTTATTGTCATTACTGACAAACTCTTTGACAAAAGCTAAAGGTCTTAGAAAAGGGAGGAGGAGGAGGGAGAAAGCCAGGTTTAACCACAGGATGGAGCACAGGTTTGAATTAGGATGTGGTCTGAGTCACAGGGCCGGTCAGCCTGGTTGTATCTGTGTTGGGCCTTTGTGCCTTGGGTTGAGAAAAGCTGTGCGAGTCATGGAATGAAAGTGATCTTGGCTTATCCAGTTTTGATTAGGTTTCATAAAAAATACTTTGTGTATTAACAAGGGCTCTTTTAGTTGCAAAACAGAGAAAACCTAGCTCCGAGTGGCTTAGGCAAAATAACTACTGACTTGAGAAGTCCAACAATATCATATTTCAGGCATGGCTTATTTTAGGCATTCAGTCATTAGGGCTTGCTCACTTTCTCTCTGTCTCTCGGCTTTGCTTTCTTTGTTAGATTCTTGCTGGGGCAGGTTATCTTCTCCTGGTGACCCCTTGAAGCTCTAGGCGTACATCTTCTAGTCAAGAAAAAGAGAAAAGAGAGCTTCACTCTTATCCTTCTAGCAAAAGTCTCATGGTTGATTTCATGTGGGTCATATGCTTTTACTTGAACCAGCCACTAGAGCCATGGGGATTTGCTACTGTGATTGGCTGTGCCTTGGCCATGTGCCCCCTGAAATAAGGGGTCATCTCTGCCTGAAACACACAGGCCTAACCCCTACAGTGCGAGCTCCATAGGTATCTTTACTTTGTCGGTTTTGTTCACTGCTATATTCTCAGCACTTAAAAGCATATCTGGCATGGAGTAGTGCACGGAAAATATCCATTGATTGAATGGGTATAGGGAAAGGCTGATTCCCTAAGAAAATTTGTGAGGCTTTTAAGAGAAAAGGAGGAAACACATGCCAGGCTCTAATAGATGTTTCTCCATCATGCATGCAGGAGAGCAACAACAGCAGTGATATTAGCTCTTGTCACTCTTAAATCTGAACTTATACCCACCTCTGGAATAGGAATCGATCCTCTTGAATTGATGTTGGATCTTGTAAGTCACACTCAACATAGCATGATGAATAGACGTAGAGGGATGGCACAATCACCACGGGCCCCATCCACCTGCCAGGAATCCAAGAGAACCACTTTTGTGCTGAAACTGAAGACCAACCCTCATTTTTACTGACATTTTTCTTATTCATTTCTCATTTAGTTTTGCTTATTTTGTTCACTGCTGTGCTCTTGGCTTTTAGGAGAGTGCCTGGCACATAGTAGGCTCTTGGTAAATATTTAATGAATGAATGAGGAAATGAATTAAGGAGTCAAAAAACATGTATTGAGTCTTCTTGCATGCTAGACTTTATGAAAGGAACTGGAAATTCTAGAAAATGAACGAGAAATGAAAAGCATGGCCTCAATGAAATACCACTTCACACCAACTAGGATGGCTATAATAAAAAAGAGACAATAACAAGTGTTAGCAAGGATGTGGGGAATTTAGAACCCTCATGCACTGCTAGTGGGAATAGAAAATGGTATAATGGCTTTGAACTACAGTCTAGAATTTCCTCAAAATGTTTATATATATATGTAATATATGTTTATAAAAATATAAAAGTGTGTATGTGTGCATATAAAAGAAAAACAAGTTACCATATTCAGCAGTTCCACTCCTGAGTATACACCCAAGACAATTGAAAATGTGTTACTAAAGCACCAGGGGTTCAGTGTAGGTCCTGCTACTCACTGCACAGAAAGCCGATCACTGAGAGGATGGGTATTGCTAAAGAAGAAAGCTTTAACTGGATGCTACAGCTGAGTAGATAGGAAGGAGCTCAGTCTCAAATTCATCTTCCTGACCAAGGGTTTAAATAGCAGGGAAGAAATGTAACAAAGTATAAGAAAACAGGAACTAGGTAGGAACAAGGAAGTAATTAGGATGAATGAGGGGTCCAGTATCTCATTGTCTGGATGCAGTGATCTGGTGAGTTTCAGTTCTTTGATACTTTGAGAGACAGACCTGAAGGTCATTTCCTAAGGAAGGATCTCAGATTAAAACAAATATAAGTTTAAGACCAGAAGGGTCAGTTTCTGTGTTTATCAAAAAAAGCCATCTGAGACTATTTGGTCAGTTTCACATGTCCACACACAAAAAAACTTGTACTTAAGTGTTAACTCATAATAGCTAAAAAGTGAAAACAACCCAATGTTCATTAATAAAATGTAGTTTATCCATACAATGGAATATTATCCATCCATAAAAAGGAATGAAGTACTGATACATGCTACAGTATGGATGAACCTTGAAGATTCAGTAAATGAGAGAGGCCAGTTACAAAAGATCTCATATGATCCTGTTTATATGAAATGTCTTTCATCAGCAAGTCCACAAAACCAGAAAGTAGATTAGTGTTTGCAGGGGTTCTAGGGAGGGATGAATAGGGCATGACTGTTAATGGGTATAGGAATTTTTTTGGGGGTGATAAAAATGTTCTTCAGTTAGTTTTAATGGATGTACAACTCTGTGCATATACTAAATAGTGCTGAATTATGGACTTTAAAATATGGTATATAGTCCAGGTACAGTAGCTCACACCTGTAATCCCAGCACTTTGTCAGGGCCGAGGCAGATGGATCACCTGAGGTTGGGAGTTTGAGACCACCCTTACCCAACATGGAGAAACCCCATCTCTACTAAAAAATACAAAATTAGCCAGTCGTTATGGTGCATGCCTGTAATCCCAGCTACTTGGGAGGCTGAGGCAGAAGAATTGCTTCAACCCAGGAGTCAAAGGTTGCAGTTAGCCAAGATCATACCACTGCACTCCAGTCTGGGCAACAAGAGTGAAACATCTCACACACACACACACACACACACACTCTCTCTCTCTCTCTCTCTCTCTCTCTCTCTCTCTCTCTCTCTCTCTCTCTCTCTCTCTCTCTGTCTCTTGATCTTCATGATAGAAAATTTCTTAAACTTTTATTTTACGTTTGGGGGGTACATGTGAAGGTTGTTACATAGGTAAACACATGTCACCTGGATTTGTTGTTCAGATTATTTCATCACCCAGGTATCAAGCCCAGTACCCAATAATTATCTTTTATTCTCCTCTTCCTCCTCCCACCCTCTATACCCCAGTGTGTTGTTTCCTTCTTAGTGTTCATATGTAGTTAACATTTAGCTCCCACTTATAAGGGAAAATGTGATACTTGGTTTTCTGTTCCTGCATTGGTTTGGTAAGGATAATAGCCTCCAGCTCCACCCATGTTCCTGCAGAAGACATTATCTTGTGCTTTTTTTGGCTACTTAGTATTCCATGGAGAAACCCACTTATTCCTCTGCACCTGCCACCCACCACCCTGGGTGATTTCTGTGACTTTATTGTGTGTTTTTCTTCTGCAAGTCCAAAAGCACTTAGCAGGTGGGCACTTTATGTTCCTTGGTTTCCCAATTCCTAGCACAGTACCCAGCAAGAAGCAAGTGCTCAGTCAGTGGTGGCATGAGGTATGGTGGTCAGAGACAAAAGTGTGCAAGGAAGGAGGGAGCTGTAAAATCATAATAATCCCTAACATGTATTGAGCTCGTACATGGTGTGCCAGCCATTATGTCAAAGGTTTGACAGTCATCTGTTTTAGTCCCCGGCAAAACTCAGTGAGGTGTACATACTATTGTTATCTCATTTTACAGCAAAGAAATGGGAGTTTAAGTAACTTTTCAGTTGTGTTAGAGTTTGGTCTTATTTCTTAGGCCTTTTGATTCCAAAGAAAACAGCTAAATATTAGAAGGTTTAAAGAAACATTATAAGATTTTCTTTTATTTAAAGAGAAACACAAATCTCTATCCTCTTAAACCTGAGGAATGTATATTTTTTTAAATAATTAAATCCTCATAGACCCAACTTCTTTGTTCCTTCTGAGCCTCTTTCCTCTCTGTGTGTCTCTGCAACAAGACCATTTCCATCACTCAGACCAAATAGAGTGGGGGGTAATCTAGGGGCCCTGTCAGGCAGCCCTGTGCTTTGTTACTTAGGCACAAAGTAGTAAATGGAGCTCACATTTACTGTCACCCAGGCTGGAATGCAATGGCACGATCTTGGCTCACCGCAACCTCCGCCTCCTGGGCTCAGTCAATTCTCCTGCCTCAGCCTCCTGAGTAGGTGGATTACAGGCACCTGCCACCATGCCCGGCTAATTTTTTGTATTTTTAGTAGAGATGGGTTTCACTATATTGGCCAGGCTGGTCTCAACTCCTGACCTTGTGATCCACCCACCTTGGCCTCCCAGAATGTTGGGATTACAGGCGTGAGCCACCACTCCCAGCCTCAAATTTATTGCTGTAAACTGTCTGTAAGCATTGCTCATTTTACTTCTTATGTAAACCACATACGATTATTATCCCCATTTTTTACTAGTAAGTTGCTCAGATAGGTCTTGAGCCTTTCTCTCTTTGACCCCGAGATCTGTGCTCTTAACCCTTATGGCATTGCCTCTCACTTGGGGCTGCTTTCTTGCAGCCTTGATCATTGAATCATTGATAAGGGACACTTCATGCTAGGAGGGAAGAGAGGCTGTAAGGACAAGGACAGACATGTGTGTCACTACGGTGACAAAACAGCAAAAGCGAAACTGACAGCCTCAATTTTCTCTATGAAGAGAAATTTTCCCAGAGAGGAAACAATCTAGGAGTGTGGTCTAGCAGTGAACTTGAAAAGGGGGAGAGTGTTGTTCAGAAATAGTCACAGAGAAGAAGGTGATGAAGGTGTCCAGTGTCTGGAGATGAACAGATCGGGGTGCACTCCGGGATCCAGCCAGGAGAAAGCAGGAAATGAGGGGACTGGGCAATAGAAAGGGTAAAGAACTGGGAGAAAAGGAAAAGGCCAAGGGTCAGAGGTCCCAGGAAGGTAGAGGAACAGATGAGAAGGGAATGAGGAACTGTTCTCAACCCTGGCCACACGTCAGAGCCACCTAGGGGTCTTTGAAAACAGTAGAGATGCCTAGGCCCCACCCACAAAGATGCTTCCAAGATTCTGATTCAGTTCCTCTGGGATTGGGTCCAGTGAGGGCATTAAAATATTCTGGAGGTGATTCTAATCTGTGGCCAAGGCGGAGACATGTGAGTTCTGGAAGAATAAAATGATAAACACGGAGTTAATGATTGCAGAGGCATGTGAAATGTTCTCATTGTATACGTTACCTTCCCTGTCCTTCCACACGTTCTCAGCATCCTTCTCTCCTTCCAGCAAATTCCTCCTCCTCTTTTAAGATCCAGGGGAGACGTCACCTCTTTATGAAGCCTTCTCTTGTCCTTCTGGAATTGCCTTCTCCCAGTTCCCACACCTTCATAAATCTGTTACAGCATCACTCACGCTGTTTTACTTTCACTATTAATCCGTTTGAGTTTCCCACTAGACTGTGACCTCCACAGAGCAGCACAGAGACTTAGCACACAGTAGGCAGTCATAAACGTTTGGAGAATAAATCATTGAATAAAATGGGAAAAGCAAGTGTTTCATTAACATCTCAAGAAATGTTGACAAAAAATGTCTAGGCAGATTTTCTGAGAGTTTCTTATTAAACACTGAAAGGAAACCACTGTTATTAACTAACTAGTTAAGTCAACAGGAAATTCATCTTTCCTTTCCTTGAAAAAAGAACTGATACAGACAGGGAAAGGGTGATCAATGATCAGTGAGTTAACTCAGCTTTTACCCCGTGGAGCGTCTTAGCAAGAGTTAAAAATAAAAATCCTGTAATGTAATGTTTAGACCAGTTTATCTTGCTCCTCAGTCTCAGCTCAAAGAAATTCTTACTCAGCTCTGCCATGCCTCCCAAAAGAACAAAGACTGTTTAGAGTCAAAGGCATATGTTTTATAACCTACAGCAGAATGTGGTACTTCCCTGTCAAACATGACTGTTCACCAGTTGAAATCCTATCAGCCCAAAGTTCTTCATTTTTTTAATCTGAAAATCATCAGGCATATTGTTAAATACAGGGGCATGAGTTAGTAGTTCTTGCATACTTCCTTAGGAGACAAGAAGTTGCAGACTTCTGTGATTAGATCCTATGTCTGTGTCTTCTTCTAAAATGCAAATGCCTTGAGGAAAGTGACTAATCCATTCATTTTTAAAAATAACATCTTTGTTGAGATTTAATTTATATCCTATATATAAAAAGCCCCATAGACTTTGGATGGAGTCTGTGGGGCTTTTTAGATATAGTATATAAATTATACTGTATCTCGACCCCAAAGCTCCTTCAGCTGATAAACAACTTAAGCAAAGCTTCAGGATACAAAATCAACGTACAAAATCCCTAGCATTCCTATCTACCAACAACACCCAAGCAGAGAGCCAAATCACAAAGGTAATCCCATTCACAACTCCCACAAAAAGAATAAAACACCTAGGAATACAGCTAACCAGGGAGGTGAAAGATCTCTACAATGAGAATTACAAAACACTGCCTCAACCTCCTAGGCTCAAGTGATCCTCCTCCCTGTCTCACTTTGTTGCCCAGGCTGGTCTCAAACTCCTGGGTTCAAGTAATCTTCCCACCTTAGCGTCCCAAAGTGCTGGGATTACAGGCATGAGCCACCACTGCACCTGGCCCATCCATATATGTTGTTTTTATATATCAAAGCCTGGACACAGTTTGAATAATATCTTAGATATTAAATAATGGTATCATCTGGAGGCAAAATAAAAAGTTCAGGCCTTGAACTAAGGCAGCCAAGCTAATCCCATGAATACAGAGTTCCTCTGGGAGGTACATATCAGCTGGGAAGTACTCGGGCCAGGTGCAGTGGCTCATACCTATAGGAAGGAGGTTAGGCTTCAGTGAGGCATCTTCATGCCACTTGTACTCCAGCTTGGGTGACAGAGCAAGACGCTGTCTCAAAATAAATAAATAAACCAATAATTGTGGCATATACAGAGCTGCATTTGTTAATCCAGTTTGTATTGGATAGTCCTTTTCTATTCAGCCTCTTTCCCCTCCTGCCTGCCCTCCATTATTTCTAACAAGCATAAGAGTTACATGGCCCCTGAGGGTAATGGGATCCCAAAGACTGGGAAAATGTGGCTAGAAGTCTTTTTTTTTTTTTTTTTTTTGAGTTGGAGTTTTGCTCTTATTGCCCAAGCTGGAGTAGAGTGGTGCAATCTCGGCTCACTGCAACCTCCACTTCCCAGGTTCAAGCAATTCTTCTGCCTCAGCCTCCTGAGTAGTTGGGATTACAGGTGTGTGCCACCATACCGGCTAATTTGGTATTTTTAGCAGACACAGGGTTTCTCCATGTTGGTCAGGCTGGTCTTGAACTCCCGACCTCAGGTGATCTCCCTGCCTTGGCCTCCCAAAGTACTTGGATTATAGGCATGAGCCACTGTGCCCAGTCATGGCTAGAAGTCTTAATCTGTCATATTCAGGATATAAAAGCTACTTAAATATTAAAAATCACCTAGGAACTCTGATGGCATTCTTTCTGAAAATATGTATGGTCATAAACAAAGTAAATAAAAATATCTCCCTAATAACATTGCTAAAATGTATGATAGTACCTAGCATCATAAAGCAGCCTCATAGAAATTTTTTTGCCATGCCTTTTAGGAAGCCAGAGATTTGCACTTTCTCATAATGTCACTCTAAATACCCAAAAGTCTAAAAATAACATTCTCTCACATATCTATGCTCTGGATATATGTCTCAGGGAAAACTTCATGTAGGTTTGAGGCAGGCCCTTCTGACATGAAATGCTACTCTTGAGTGAAGTTAAATTGTAAATTGAAACATATGTTTCTCATAAAATGGTATAAGAGTTGTAGCCAAACAGTAATAAAAAAACAATTTTTAAAAAATTTAATTGTCAAGAGAATTGTTTAAAAGACAGAAACCTTCCAGTGGACTGGGTGGAGAAAAAGGAAAAACCACACTACATTCTGTTCTGTAAAATGAGTCCTACGAACTCAGGTGCGGTACTAGGTAAGAAGGAATCCTGCTAAATAATAACTTTAAAGAATGGGGCTGCATCTCCTAACTCTTGGGGTTACAGCCCTTGACTCTCTGCTGGGCCACATGTCCATTCTGTTATAAAATGGTTATGGCCTAGAGTGAAGGATGGATGTGTTGCCTTGCTTCCTGGAAGCACAGGAACTCTAAAATGAGTAACTTTTTTCTAAAATTGCTCAACCTAAGTATTTGATGATGGAGGGATACCTCTAAGCTTCCAAACAGGGAAATTCTTCCCCTTCTCTCCTGAGAAGATCCCTGTTTTGCCTGGGGGAGGAAGAGGGAGTTGTCAGAATACAATTTCAGGAATTTTCGAAGCTGTGCTTTGGTTCATCTGCTGCTGGGGTAGAAATCATCAAAGTCTCTGTGGAGGGCAAAAGGATCAGATAAGAAAGAAGTCCCTCCTCATAGACTGAGAAATCTGAAACCTTAGGAATTCTTGCTGATGAATTTTATTCCCTTCTAGTCTAAGAAACCTTTATTTCTTCCTAGCAAGAGACATATAGAATAAATCACTAATGGTGCAAACAATATTTGAGATAAATGCAATTGTCAGATAGTTTCCTAGAGTTCCGCAGGGGCATGTGATGGCTGCAGACAACTGAGTCTATATTTTAATTAAGTGGAATATGTTCAGAGTCCTCTGGGAGCTCTAACATGTTGTCTGTAGCCAAGGGCTCAATGCTGCAGTCATAGTTTTGTGTGCTTGTGTACGTGTTCTTCAAAATTTAAGCCATTTCTTCAAAATTTCTGTTTAGTACAAACAGTAATCTCAGGCCAAAAATTTTCAGAAAGACATTTGCAAACTCTAATGGAGGCTTGGTTTTCCAGGCATTCAGAACACAGTTTCTAAATGTGGTTGAGAAAAATGACCTCGGGTATACGGAGCATCATTGAACAATGACCTTTCAGGTTAATTAAGAGAGCTAAAACCCCAGAGAAATCTTGAGCAATTGTTTTGTGTTGCCTGAAGGAACAAAAGAATAAAAATGTAGTGGGAATATTTGGAAAGCAGATGATTTTTCAAGCTTGTGAAAAATGAAGACCAGTCACCAGAAGAAAATGCTTTTATGTGGAAAAAGAGAAATGCTTTTTGAAGTAAAATTTAGGTCCTTGGACTTCCTAGCTTTTCTATAAATTGGCTTTTGGGTATCCATGTTAAGCCCTTTATTTGCTCCTATTTAATTAATATAGGAATAAATGGTGAAATAAAGAGGAAAATGAGTCCATTCTACAAGCATGTATGTGCAGTGGAAGCATTTCGTTTTTCAGTTTTCTGTATAGAAATATTTACTCAGACTGCATGCTAAGTAATTTAATCATGGCAGGTGTCTAATGACCAATTTTTTTTTTCCCAGCTGACTCAGGGGTTGACACCTTGGCAGTGTTTATGGCCAGCAGCGGAACTACAGATGTTGCAAATCGGAACAGCCCAGCCACACCACCAAACACCCTTAACCTCCGTTCCTCCCACAATGAACTGTTGAACGCTGAAATAAAACACACAGAGACCAAGAACAGCACACCTCCCAAATGCAGGAAAAAATATGCACTAACTAACATCCAGGCGGCCATGGGTCTCTCGGATCCAGCTGCACAGCCTCTGCTGGGAAGTGGCTCTGCCAACATCAAGCTGGTGAAAAATGGGGAGAACCAGCTTCGGAAGGCTGCAGAACAAGGGCAGCAGGACCCTAACAAAAACCTAAGCCCCACTGCAGTCATCAACATAACTTCTGAGAAGTTAGAGGGTAAAGAGCCCCACCCACAGGATTCCTCGGGCTGTGAGATTTTACCCTCCCAGCCCAGGAGAACTAAAAGCTTCCTAAATTACTATGCAGACTTGGAAACCTCAGCCAGAGAACTAGAGCAGAACCTAGGCAACCGCCATGAGATAGTGGAAGAGAAATCCCAGCCAGGCCAGGGCCAGGCCTCCACCATCATTGGGAATGGCGATTTGCTGCTGCAGAAACCAAACAAACCCCAGTCCAGCCCTGAAGATGGCCAAGTAGCCACAGTGTCATCCAGCCCAGAGACCAAGAAGGATCATCCGAAAACAGGGGCCAAAACCGACTGTGCGCTACACCGGATCCAGAACCTGGCACCGAGCGATGAGGAGTCCAGCTGGACAACATTGTCCCAAGACAGTGCCTCACCCAGCTCCCCGGATGAAACAGGTACCCCTGGGGAAGGTGTAGCCTCAGCTGGCACTTTCTTTTGGTCTCTTCAGCTATTGGTGGAGTTAATCTCTAGACTGACCAAAAATGTCCTTTTACATGCAGAGAGGAACATGAGCCTCTTGCCGTAAAATTGGGCAATTTATGTGCAAAATTTTATTGCATTCCTCAACCATATCTTAGGTTAGTTTCATTTT